TATTACTCACAATTCTACGGGCTGAATGGGTTTCTGGTCTTAGGAAATTTAAAGGAAATAAATAAGCTGACATTGTAGACTGTAGAAATCTCTTAAGTAGCACCGGTATATATTTCTATAGAGAGCGTTGGAACGTTTCCATTAAGTCACTCACAACATATAAAACAATCCTCTCCATCTGCCTTTCTTTCAATAAAACCAGGTGCAGGAAACTCATAAACAAGGAATATGTCCATAGTATGTCAACATAATAACAATAAATAACTAGCATCCTGGTATGGCGAATATATCGCATCATTTGCGATATAACGTTGATCAGACTATGTAATAGGAATGAAGAAAACCTTTAACAGGCACTATTGATCTTGCAAAGTCTTGAATATGCGATGTTAGAGTTGTCCAAAAATGCGGTAAATTGAAAGGGTCAATAAGCTAAATCAAATAAATTATTAAGTCACAGTAGCAATTTTCACCAACGAGAAAAATAGACATCCAAAGTAGACGTATAGCAGCGCAGTATCGAGAGATATGTTGAAATCTAGTTGCTACGTTAAAGGTCAAATTTTAAGCCTTTAAATGGATCTCCGACACTGACATTTATCAGCGCAGTATCGAGAGATATCTTGCTAAGGCTAAAGGTAACCTAAGTTAGAAAGGCTATATAATGGTCTTAATGATGAATGCGGGAAAATAATGTAATTATGACAAATGATAAATTCTTAACCTGATAAACTCTACTCTAAAACAATGACAGAGCTCGTCACAGTAAGATTAATAAAATTTATCTATACTTAACTTATCTATTTTATAGCATATTAAAATATTGTGGATCATAATTTGCTTCTTCTTCTTATGCGCTACAAGCTCTTAGGATCTCCTTCCTTTCCAATGTCTATTTTAAGATTTCAAATTAAAAACACTGGTCTAGCTTAAAGAGTCAGATCTCTCCATTTGCAAATCCTAAGACTAGATCGGTATTAAGAGACGTTAAGGGATTTTTTAAAGTATTACTTCTAAATAGTTGTACCGATTATCGGGGCTATACTTGGTTGCCATATTCTAATTTGCAGTAAACAGGATATACTATAAGTAGGTGTGGCTGATGTGTAGAGACTGAATATTATATTCGCAACAATACATCATAAGAGGATGTATTTTGTTGTATATCCATTTTGAAAATTACTTTACTTAAATTGAAACCTTATTTTACACTACACAATATATATAATATTTTTAATATTAATATAGTTAATATTAGCATATATAAGGCATCATCGTTTCTTTAACTGGATTTGTACAAATTACTAAAAATAAAAGTCAAATTAGCGTAAGATTCAACAACTAGAACGGCTAACTAGCCAATACATTTGTTCAGGCCCTTAGTATGTTCGTGATTCCCGGGTATAAAAAACAAATTTTTTCCTTGTGTGTTCCCTTATGTCAAAACTTTTATATTTTGACAAATATTTTTTTTTACTTAACAAGAAAAAGTTTATTTTTGCAACAATTTTTTTTAATAATAAAAAAATTATTTTTATTTCAATTATTTATGTTATATGCCAATACAGTATTCCAAGTGGCGCCTGGAGTCTGGTAGATTTTCACAAAGCTTCGCTTGAGTCGTAATTCGTTAGGAAAAAAGGATAAACAACTGTTAAGTAAAAGCACAACTCACCACACAACAACAAAGGCGGTCAGTTGAAAATTCTAGATTCAGAATTCGGCCGGAAAAAAAACAACAACAATGATTTTAATTAAACGCCATTTTGCAATTTATTTACTTTAATTTTATTATATTTAATTTCACAATTGCATGTTTACAGCCAATAGATTCAAAAAAAATGAAAGCGGGAAAGCACGGGAAAGCACGGCAAACGCGGTGAAAATGCGCTGTCAAATGCTTTGTAAGTGAAAAGTGAAAATAATTGAAGTAAACGTTGCGTATACGCAATGTTGGTCAGTGGGGTTTTTTTTGTTCTTTCTGAACTTAAAACTTTTTTTTTATAGAAATTTATGATATAAAATAATATATTTTTTAATTTATTTTTAAACCAAAAGTGCAAAAAATGCGTAGTAAATATTTACAATTTTTATGAAATATTCAGCTTCTGGCGTGGCTGATACATCCCACGAGCCTTTAAGCTGAAGCTGGCACAACTTCAGTTCTCAAAACTTTGTACTTTACGGAGTAAATATTTTTTACTATTTTTATTTTTTAATGTTTCATTTTAACTCAAGTGCTCTGGAGCTGTTATTCTGCTGTCCTGAAAGTATTATGTTCTTTACCACATAGATTAGTGATAACGTGAAAAAGTGCAGTTTTTATTTGACTTTTTTCCTTGAACTAATAAACTTGTGAACATTGACGGGAAATAAAATTAAAATAAAGCAATAAAGTGCAAAATAGTAGGAAAATAGACCGGCAAGTAAAAACACGTTTATTTAAAAAGTTTCCTGTTTTCTTTCGCCACTCTCTAAAATTTTTATCATCGGTTTTAGCTTTAGAAGTTATTTAATTGCACTAAACTGAAATTGATGCAGAAACACTTACTAAAATTTAATGGTTTTTAACTTTCACACAAAGAGCTCTACGTAAATACCAAGTAATTGAAGGATACTTAAGACGGATGTGCGAAGAATGGAATAGCACTTCCTCGGTCATTTAATTAATTAAAAATAAGCATTAAATTTGAAGTTTTTCCACAAAAATGTTAAAAAATTGAATATGCAAAGAAAAATTTTATTTATTCTTTTATCACATTAAATCACTTTTATTATTGAAATATTTAGCTGTTAAAAATAAAATTACTTTAAGAGTGAATATAAATTGTAATTTAATGTCATTTTTGAGATGGAAATGACTATTATATTTAATAAAAAACTAGCATATTTGGTAAACGGTTTCCAAAAGTAGTAATTATTTTAATTAATTGAATTTTTGACTGACCACTCAGCTGTTTCGAGTATTTCCTAATACCCATCAACTGTGATCTTAAAAATATTTTTTGTATTTAATTATTCGTAAATAATTTTTTGATAATAATTCTATTTTATATGATTTATTAAAATAATAATGAAAACTTAAAACATAAAACATAATTAATTATTTAATAACATTGCTACTATAGGGCATAGCACTGTTTTCACTACCAATCATATTAGTTGCATTTACACTAACAGCAACTACGGTTGCGCTACTGCCGGTGCTTTACTGTCATATAATTGCAATTATAATAATTATAGTCAAAAACAAAGCGTATTGTACAAATACATAACGATCACAGATTTTTTGCAATAAATTTTTATATTTTTGATGGATATTTTTTCCGTAATATAATGCCTACCTCTTTACTACATCCTCTATTTACCCTACAACAAGTACAATATGTATGCTAAGGAAATAAAAGCAGGAACAATAACAATACCACACACACGCAAACATAGATTGTAATTTGCAGACAGTGCGTCTACTAAACCGTGAGAACATTCCATTCTCACGATGTAAATACTCGATTGACGTCATCAGTACCTCTAAGCAAAGCAACCCATAAGTGAATGATTCTAACTCAACTTTCTATTATCATTTTTTTTATTTGTAACAAATGTATTTGTACCAAATTGAAATTTTCACACTATATTTGTTGTTATAATTTTCTTATACGAGTAATATATTGATATAATATAATGATCACTTGACGATTGAAAGTTATTAGAAATATCTTTTGTCTTCAGAAAAATACACATACCTACATATACAACTGAGAAAAATCAAACATAAGTGAGCACTTTACAATTTAGGCCATGTGCGAGTTCGAGTAAAGTGATGTTGAATTGAGGGAAATAGTAAATTATGATAGTATTGCAGCGAAGGTTGGTATTTACCAGAATTTCGAGTAGGGTAAATTAGATAAAAATTAGGTAAATTAGATGTTACCATTGTGAAAATTTTATAAGATTTTTTATAAATAAATAAATTTGAAAACTTTTAACCAAAACTAATAAAAAAGTGAAATAAATACATATTTACATAAGTAGAGTGCAAAAAATCACTAAGAAATTTCAATTTACTCGAACTCGCACACGGTCTTTATAAATATTGAACAAAATAAAATTGTTTCACCTTCAAAAAAAAATTTACTTTATCTTAATATAAAATAACCCTATATTGAATATTCCGAGTAACATAATACTTTGCCCTTCAACTTTATTTTGGTACTCCATATTACTACTCATTTATATTATTATAAAAATTAAATCGTAGTCCAATTCAAAATTACCCCTTAATAAGAAATTACAAAAATAATCAAAACTATACAGCTCTGAGGAAAATGTACTAGTTTTCGATATTAAAACACACTGCGTCGATAGCACAATAATTCACAATAATTATCGCCACGGTAGACGTCATCAATTTTTATTGAAAAAAAAGTGTCAGTTAAAAAGAAACACCAATAAAAAATTGAGTATAAAGAGATTACTGCTCAGCAACAGAAAAATAAATAGTGCCGTTAGAATTATTTACTAGTAAGTGCTGTTAAGAAGCAGAAAAACATTGAGAGTACAATATTTTACCACACTTTTCAAGCATATTTTTTTCTACTCTCTTCTACTCTTCTTCTGTAATACAAACATTTGCGTACATATTAATTCATTTAACAATCAAGTGGATAAGCGTCTTTTGTGTTTTGTGCTGAAATTGAAATATTTAGTATTTGAAGTATACCTATTCTTATTTTATAAGAAAACGCAACGCATTTTTTTTTCGTATCGTGGGAAAATTTTTATTCATCAAGGACTAACACAGAGGTAAAAAATTGTACAAATATTTGTGTACATATGTATATGTAAAAAATTAAATTTGACATAGAAACAATAGTAAAAGTAAAAATATATTAATAAAGACATAGTGATTTTATATTTTATTAACACATATTTAAACTCTGTTCTAATATATTAATAATATTATTATATTATTTATAATTAATAATATTGTACTAGTATAAAGCTTTATTGTCTTTTTGTACGGATTTAATGCATTTCAACGCTGCTTTTCCATTTCTGTTTGAGCAATTCTTTTTTTTTCACGGAGGTCCTTGCATTTAATCAAACATCGGAGCATGTTGGACTAATACAAATCATATAAAATAAAAAAAAAATTTTTATACAAAAAATCTTACATCACTCAACGAAGTTAAAAATTTGTTAGCAGCTTCTGCGCGAGCTTCTTTCTTATTGGCTCCGATTACTGTACAGGTAATACCACCAATAGTCAAATTTACTTTATATTTGCTACTACCGGAATCACTCATTATACATTCATTGTCGTGTTTTGGCATTGGGAGAAAATGTGTTGCACAATACTGATTTAGAAGAACCACTTCTTGTTGTGGACAGAAATATTCTTCAATTTCTGCAATAAACTCTTCTGTTATTGTTTTATCAAGAATACTCCAAGCTCTTAATAAATTCAACGCTGCCATGTTTTTAGCTTTTCCTATAGTTGGTCCTCTTCCGCAAGCCTTCATTTCTTTAACTTTGACGGAATAAGTATATAAAATACTGGGTACGCATACGTAGACTGGCGGAGCAACATTTCGCTTATGGCATTTTTTTGCTAACACTAACACCGGTGAATCGTGTTTCATTATAATTTATATCAAATGATACAACTTAACAAATACTAAAACTTAGCAATTGTTAATTAAAACTTTAATTTGAAACTTACTTAGTCGAAAAAAACTGTACACCCACGAATACAATATTGACTAAAGATACACGCACATGCGTGCAAAAGAGAAGGAAAATATTTTTAAGAATAGAGTCAATAAGCATACAACTTAAATTCAACACCACCAAAAAATTATTCAACATTATATTCCTAATGCATGCAATGGAATTTTTTTTCACCACTGTAAAAGGAAGTTGTCTACATTTTTTAGAACAGTGTCAATAAGCATACAACTCAAATTCAACACCACCAAATCATTATTTAACACTTATTTGGTTATGCTTGCAATGGAGTTTTTTTTCACCACGGTATCAGTATGTTGTTTACATTTTTGAGAACAGCGTCAATAAGTAGTTCAAGTTTACCATTACCAAGAAATGTTTCAACACTAATTTGCTTATACTTGCAATGGAGTTGTTTTTCACCACAGTAAGAAGAAGTTGTGAACATTTCTGAGAACAGCGTCAGTAATCACCCAGCGGGACTTTCAGCGCTGAGGGAATCGATTCCCTCAGCGCTGAATGGTAATGCCTAGCGCTGATTATTCAAAGGAAACT